TGTACCCGTTAACACTTCTCTCCCCATACTCCCTTCTTCCCCTCCTCCTCAGTCTGGTAACCACTCCATCCTTTTGCTTTTTCACCTACCTATGCCATATTTGAAGTGAGTTTCTTATGGTCAGCATATAGTTGGGTAATGTATTTTTATCCATTCTAACAATTTCTATCCTTTAACTGGTATTGTTAGAACATTTGTGTTTAATGTAGTTGTTGATACATTTGGATTTACCTCTATGTTATATTACTTGTTTTCTCTTTGTTACCTCTGTTTTTTGTTTTCTTTCTCCCTTCTTTTCTTTCTTTTGATTTTTTTGAACATTTTTTAGTATTCCATTTTAATTTATGTGTGTATCTCCTTGTACTTATCTCTTTTTATACCTTTTTTAGTGGTTGCTATAAGAATTTGATTATATCTCTTTGTATGGCTTTTTTAGTGGTAGCTGTTTATGGATTACAATATATATACTTTTCACAGTCTACTTAGGATCAGTATTTAACCACAAGTGGAATGTCAAAACCTTACCATGTATGGTTTCTTTATCTTCCCCCTTTATATTGTAGTTGTCTTAAATATCACCTTTATGTTTGTTGAAAATCCCATCAAATAGTGTTATAATTTTTTCATTCAAACATATTTTAGAGAACTTAGCAGGAGAAGAATAGTTATATTCACCCGGATATTTACTTCTGCTTCTCTTCTTTTATTTCTGATCTTCAAAGTTTTTGTTTTTGTTTTTTGTTTTTCTCTTCTGCCTAAATAAGTTTCTTAGGAATTATTTTAGAGAGAGTTTTCTGGCAACAGATTTTCTTTTTTTTTTTTTTGTCTTTTTTCGTGTCCGGCAACGGATCGCAACCCTCAGTGTCGCGCCCGTACCGGACCGGGACCAGCAACGGGATCGCAACCCTCGGTGCTGCGCCCACACCTCGCTCAGCCAGTGAGCGGGAACCAGTCTGTATGTGGGATCCGAACCCTCGGGAGTGCCACCGCGCTCCCAAGCGGCGCACTGTAGCAGTGCGCCACTGGGCCGGCCTGGCAACAGATTTTCTTAAGTTTTTCTTTATCTGGGAATGTCTGTTTCACCTTCATTCCTGAGGGATGTTTTTGCTGAACACAGAATTTTGAGCTAACTATTCTTTTCTTTCAGTACTTTAAATATGCTACATCATTTCTTCCTGACCTCCATCGTTTCTGATGAGAAATCTGCAGGTATTTGAGTTGTTTTTCTGTAAATAATGCATCACTTTTTGGGAGTCCTTCAAGAATTTTTTCTTTTTTGTCTTTTGTTTTTGGCAGTTTGCTTATGATGTGCTGCTGCTTGAATTTCTTTGTGCTTATCCTATTTGGTGGTCATTGGACCCTTTGAATCTGTAAGCTTATATCTTTACCAAATTTGGGATGTTTCTAGCCTCTATTTCTTCAAAATTTTTTTCCTGTATCACAGTCTTTTTTTCTTTTGAGAGTCTGTAAACATGAATGTCATACCTTGCATTGTCCCACGGGTCCCCGAGTCTCTGTTCATTTTTTAAAAATCATTTTTTTCTCTGTTGATCAGATTTGGTAATTTTTATTGATCTGTCTTCAAGTTCGCCGACTTTTTCCTTTGTCATCTCTATTCTGCTATTGCAATTGGTTGATATATCTCTTACGGCTCTTTAAGTTGTTCCTGCACCCTTTTCTTTATTTAACTTTGCAATTTATTTGTTGTAGATGGTTGTTTGTTCCAAATGGTTTTCCACAGTGTGGGTTTTCTATTTGCATCTCTGTATAACATGTTTTCTGTCCCCTGTATTGTCTGTTAAGTTGGAAGTTAGATCTAAAATAAGGGTCAGCAAACTGCAGTCTGTGGGTCAAATATGGGCTTCCTTTGTTTTTATAAATATTTGTTGAGATACAGCCACATGTGTTCATTTACATGTTGTCTGTGACTGCTTAAGTGTTGCAGTAGTAGAGTTGAGCAGTTATAACAGAGACTGTATGGCTGGCAAAGCCTAAAATATTGAATCTCTGTTTCTTTATAGAAAAATCTTTCTTTATCCCTGATCTAGAGATTTTATTAAATTCAGTTTTTTTTGGCAAGTAAACTTAATAAGTGGTGATGTGTATTTGTATATGTGGCATGTAATGTTTGGTTGTCTTTTAGCAGCCATTGATGAACATTGCTTACATTTAGTACTTTTTCATTGATCACCTACATTTTAAATGGATATTTTTGTTATATAATTTTAGATTGGTATTTTTCTATCACTGTCTTCTGGTTTTCTTTATGACTTATTGTCAGCTGTAAGTCTTATTGTTTGGCATTTTGAAGATAATCTGTCCCCTTGGACCCTCCAACCTCACTCCCTTGATGCTTTGGAGATTTTTCTTTTTTGGTCTTTGGCATTTCGAAGATAATCTGTCCCCTTGGACCCTCCAACCTCACTCCCTTGATGCTTTGGAGATTTTTCTTTTTTGGTCTTTGGCATTTCGAAGATAATCTGTCCCCTTGGACCCTCCAACCTCACTCCCTTGATGCTTTGGAGATTTTTCTTTTTTGGTTTTTATCAGATATGCTATGATGTGCCTAGGTGTGGTTGTTTTGTTTTTTTTGGTTTGTTTTTATCCTGCCTTGGGTTTATGATGTTCCTTGAATCTGTTGCTGGGGTCCTTTGTCAGTACTGGAAAATTCTAAGCCATCTGCCATCTTCTCTTCTGCCCCATTCTTCCTTTCTTAACATTCCATGTATATGTATATGTTAGATCTTGTATTCTGTGCCATATTATGTCTTTTATGTTCTTTCCATTTTTTGGTTTTCTATCCTTTTGTCATTCTGTGTTTAACAGCAGGGATATTTTCTGACTTTTTTTTACCAATTCTTTTTTTTTTTTTTTTTTTTTTTTTTAAAGATGACCGGTAAGGGGATCTTAACCCTTGACTTGGTGTTGTCAGCACCACGCTCAGCCAGTGAGCAAACCGGCCATCCCTATATGGGATCCGAACCCGGGGCCTTGGTGTTATCAGCACCGCACTCTACCGAGTGAGCCACGGGCCGGCCCCAATTCTTATGTTTTTGCTGTACCTAATCTGCTATGAAGCCAACCCTTTGAATTTCCTAATTTAATTTTTTTTTTTTTCCTTTTTGTCTTTTTTCGTGACCGGCAATGGATCGCAACCCTCAGTGTCGCGCCTGTACCGGACCGGGACCGGCAACGGGATCGCAACCCTCGGTGTCGCACCCGCACCTCGCTCAGCCAGTGAGCGGCCGGTCTGTATGTGGGATCCGAACCCTCGGTGGGAGCGCCACCGTGCTCCCAAGCGGCGCACTGTAGCAGTGCGCCACCGGGCCGGCCCTAATTTTAATTATTACATTTTTCCGTTCTATTATTTGTTTCTTTATTATAGTTTTCAGTTCTCTACCAGAATTCTCCAAATTATCATTGTCATTTCAGTAGTTTTAAAATCTGTTTCTGATAATCCTTTTATTTGGGTCTCCTGTGGATTGTTTCTAATGTCAGTTTTCCCCCTTGGTTTTTGTCATTTATTGTTTCCCTGAATGTCTGCTTATTTTTCACTGCATGCCAGAAATTAAAAGTGAAAAACATTGAAGATAGCTTGAAGCTCCAAGTGATTGTTCTAGAAACCTAAAATATCTATATGTGATTTTTATAAGCTGTCCTGGGAGAATACACAGGCATGGGAAAAGAAAGTACTGGCAAGAATCACTTAATAAAGTCATACTGGGTTCTAGGTCTGATAGAGAAGGAATTAAGGGAATTGGGGGAAAAAAAATGAAGATCCCAGTGAGTAGGGTGGGAGACAGCTAAAAGCGTAGGAGGTTGGCATTGAAAAAGAGAACATTAAGGGCTGGCTAGTTAGCTCAGTTGGTTAGTATGCAGCCTTGTAAGACCAGGGTCAAGGGTTTAGTTGCCTGTACCAGCCAGCAGCAAAAAGAAAGAAAAGAAAAGAAAACAGTAGTTGGTTAGCTTGGTTAAAGGGTTTGGATCCCTGGACTGGTCAGTCACCGGAAAAAAAAAAAAAGAACATTAGACCATATTATTAAAAATAAAAATAATGAAAGGGAGCAAAATGCTTTGTGGAAAATACTTGGTGTATGTGTTAGCCTGAGTTTAGATTAGTAATCAGACACTTAGGGTTGAAAAGTCTAGTTAAGTCTTAATAGGTGGTATGGAAGTAAGTTAAGTTTTGCAAGGAGTAACCATTTAGTAAATTGTGAACAGCACCAAGGGAATTTGAGGCTACACTGTACATTGCCACTTTTGTTTTTTGCATTTCCTTTGAAATTATTTTTAGCTGCATTGGTCTAAAAATGTTCAGCATAGTTAGGGTGTGGTGTGAAGACCAGCTTTTACTACAGGCTGCATACACCTAGATGGGTTTATGGTTAGTAAACAGCAAACTCTTAAGTACAATGAGCTTCCTTAACTCCTTGGAGATATAAATACCTGCCCAGCTTACCTCACAGATTTTTTGTAAAGATTTAATGGAATGTATGAAATATTTCAAAAATGAAAAAGTACAAATGTAGTAAGGTCGTTAATAATCACATAGCTGGTGGAGAATTGCAAAATTTATAATTACACTAAAGGAAAAATTTAAAAGTCAATAACTTATTACATATGCATTTAATTTATTCATATTAACTTAATTAGGTTAAGTAAAATTTATGTGTGGATTGGAGCATGTCAGCATCAGAAGTTAATAGTACATTTTTCTGCCTGAGGGCTTATACATATATTTTCATTATCTTTGAGAAAATGAATTTCCTTTTGAAAAATAAATCAAATATTGTAAAAGCAAATGAATTGTCATGTTATATAGATTTAAACTTTTTGTTTCTACTTAGAGTCTACGATAAAATTTAAACATTGTGGATTATTGTCATTTGATCTATAACAAAAGTAAAATAATCACAGTCCTAAAGGAATATTATAATACATAAGCAAAATATATTGAAACTTTTAAAAACTAAAGTATAAAATTATTTCTCTGTCTCTAGGCAAAATTTGGTTTCTCTAATATTACTGGAATTGATTATTCTCCTTCTGCAATTCAGCTTTCTGGAAGTATTATAGAGAAAGAAGGTTTATCGAACATTAAATTGAAGGTAACTATTACTTATATTATTATAATATTTTTATTTATAATGGAAGTTATAAAGTTTAAGTGTTTCTAAAGTATATTAATTTGCTGGTATCTTTTGAACTCATAAATTAAGGATCAATCATAAATAACCCAAATTGAAACATTTTTAAGTAACTATATTAAAAATTTAGTCAGTTTATTTTCTCTCCTTGCATGAAAGTGTGTTCATACCTCCCCACCCATGTTTACAAATACAGGTTGAGTGTTCCTTATCTGAAATGCTTGGGACCAGAAGTGTTTTGCATTATGGATTCTTTCAGATTTTGGAATATAGCAGAATACATACTAGTTGAGCATCCCTAATCCAAAAATCTGAAATGCCTGATGAGTATTTCCTTTGAGAGTCAACTTGGTGCTCAGAAAGTTTCAGATTTTGGAGCATTTTGGATTTTGTATTTCTGGATTAGGGATGCTTAATCTGTATACACAAATAATACTTAACTATGGATTAATTAGGTCAAAAAATTGTAAATGTATAGAGTGTATAATATTACCAAAGATCATTTATTTTTGTCTCCTGTGATCTGTGAGATGATGACTCCTAAATTTGTATTTCTAGTCCTGGCTTTTCCTCTGAGTTGAGCTCTATGTAATTCTATATAAAAATTGCCTATTTTAAAGTCCTCTTGAAAGACTCGCCGGTTAGTTCAGTTGGTTAGAGCATAGGCTTATATATAAACAAGCCTTATAATCAAGGTCATGCATGGGTTTGGATCCCCATACCGGCCAGCCGCCCCCAAAAATAAAAGCCCACTTGAGTGTGGTGCTGATAACACCATACTGGCCAGCTGCCAAAAAAAATTTTTTTTTAATGTTCACTTGGATATTTAATAGTCTTTCAGCTTAATTAATCCAAAATGAAACTCTTGGTTTCCTCCTCAGACCTGCTTTCCCCAGTCATGCCCATTTATTCTGATGATATCACATTTATGCTGTTGCACTAACCTCAAACCCAAGGAATCATCCTTTATTCTTCTCTTACTTTTAAATCCTATATTCAATTCTGTTAGTTTTATCTTAAGTGTATATCAGGAATGTGATCATTCCTTGATATTTCTACTGGTACCTACCAAGTCCAAGCCACCATCATTTCTTGCCTAGACTACTACAGTAGTCCCAATTTCCATTCCATGGTTTCCCCACTTCCGTTCTTGCTGTCATGTCTGTTTACTACAGGGCAGCCAGAGTGATCTATTAAAATGTGAATCAGTTCATATTACTTCCTTGCTCACAGTCCTCCAATGGCTTCCCCATTGCGTTCAGAATGGAATCCAAACCCTGCACCCAGCTTTATGAAGTCTCATTTCTTTACCTCTTTCCCACTTTATCACCAGTACTCCAGTAACACTGGCTTTCTCTCTGTTTTTGAAACATGTCAATCTTGTTCTTCTTCAGTCTTTGTAACCTGTTACCCTCTGCTTAGAATATTCTTGCCCCAGATCTTAGCATGTTTGGCTTGTTCTCATCATTCAGATCTCTGCTGAAATATCACCTTCTTAGAGAGCTCTTCCACATTAATTTTTAAGATTCTTTAAAAAATTTTTAAATTCTTTTATTTTTTTGGCGGCTGACCTGTATGTGGATTCTAACCTGTGACATTGGTGTTATACGGCTAACTCTAACCAGCTGAGCTAACTGTCCGGCCCCTTCATTACTTTCTCCAAAAATTTCTCTTCCCAGTCTCTCTTTTTTTTAGTTTTTAAAATTTTATTCTCTATGTCTTCCTACTCTACTTTCATTTTCTTTATAGCACTTTATCTGAAATTGTTTAACTTATTTAATATTTATCTTTCCCTTTATAAGATTAGTTTCATGCAGGGATCTTTTCTGTTTCGTTTACCGTTATATCTGGTGTCTGAAAAGTACCTGTACAGCAGTTGTCCACAAAATATTTGTTGAATAAATGAGTACTTTTATACAGGCATTTAGGATGAGAAATCTTCTCCAAAGTTAGCTCTTCATAGTGGTAATCATTGTTTTTTTTCAGGTTTAATGAATTCTTTGCACATGAGGGAGATGGAAAAACCCATTTTTAAATATAAATAAACATTCACATTTTTAAGTCAATAAGAATTTTAGATGCAAAACTATTAACAATTACTTTATTTAGTTTGTATGAGTAATTATGAGCTAGTTGCCTAATTGTTTTTTCAAAATAGCTTTTCAGAATTAAGTTCATTGGCTTGGCAAATTATTGTGAATGTTTTATAAAATTGAGGCAGATCATTGTTTCTAATGCTTATAATGTATGAGGTTATTGAAAATGAATGAGATGAAGATGTATGAATTTAAAAACATAAAGTGCATGGTGTTTACCAAATTAGGAATTAGTTTAAACAGTCATTTAATTTCTTAAGCTTTATGCCATTCATTATCCATTAGAAGCTTTGTAAGCTGCTGAGTCAAGGCAAAAATCTTTTGATTTACTTTGCTTACTTTAGGTCACACAACATAGCATATAAGCAAGAAATCTTATGTCTAGTGACTTGAGTTCGACCGGCAACGGGATTGCAACCCTCGGTGCTGCGCCTGCACCTCGCTCAGCCAGTGAGCGGGAACCGGTCTGTATGTGGGATCCGAACCCTCGGTGGGAGCGCCGCCGCACTCCCAAGCGGCGTACTGTAGCAGTGCGCCACCGGGCCGGCCCTAAATTTTGTCATTTTGAAAAATATGTCAAATATTCTATTTTTCGACAAACAACTTTTTCTTGAGTCAGACTTTTGAGCTCCATAATGTGCTGGTATTATTAGGCAGTATGCCTGGCTTTGATTTGTTTCCAAATTTGTAGAGATTTGCAATGTCCAGGAAACACTATCTGTCTCTTTTACTAATCTTGGCTTTAATGATCTTGGAATGAAGCTCATAAAAGTTAGCCATAAAGTTGAATATATATATATTATATGTAAAATGCCATCGTAATTAATGGGTCCTTTTATCCATAACCTTTTACAGGTTGTCACTTGAATTCTGTAAAGATCGTGTGTTAATTGTTCTCACATAGACATTTATTTTTAATATAGGTAGAAGACTTTTTGAATCTTTCCACAAAGCTGTCTGAATTTCATATTTGCGTTGACAAAGGGACTTTTGATGCAATAAGCCTTAATCCTGACAGTGCAATTGAGAAGAGGAAGCAATATGTGAAATCTCTCTCCAGGGTGTTGAAAGTAAAAGGCTTTTTTCTAATAACCTCATGTAATTGGACCAAGGAAGAGTTGATGAATGAATTCAGTGAAGGTAAATGGGTATACGGTGTTTAAACATGCACTTACCTTAGGTTTCATTTACTTAAATAGTTTTTTTTTTTTGGTGTTATACTGTTTTACTTTTCTATTTGTGGGAATTGCCTGCTTTTCTTCTCTGTTAATGACCTTGGTAATAACTTTTAAGTGTATATACAAAGCACAGAGAAATTACATTGGTTGAGATCCAGAGACCTTTTTAAAAATTTGTAAGAAATCCTGGTGGTTAAGTACTAAAATTTATGAGCCTATAAAAATTAAGTTTTTTATTTAAACTGTACAATCTTTTGTTTAAGGTATATAATATATTATTTAGAGAATCAAACCAGAAAAAAAAGAAGCACATATATTGTGCTTCTGAATTCAGTGTACTGATTTACTGGCAAATCTGTAATAATGCAAATGGAAGTAGTATTTTTAAAAGTCTTACATGATGTGAGTTTTGATTTTATAGACACTTCATATGTATCTAATGGTCATTTAGGTATTTAGGATTTGTCTTCTTGTTGTCAGGGTATATAGAACGATTATTCTTAACATTGCACAGAAACAAAATGTAGGGAATTGATAGAAGTACCACCTACTAATTCTTGAGGAAATCTGTGCATTTTTCAAGATTTTGGTGCCAAGGCAGGATCCTTTTTTGCCCCATTAGCTGTAAATAGTGCTGTGTCTACTACGTGGGGATCTTGCGAGAACTGAGAATCTGTAATCTACACACAAAATATTTTGAGGTCTCTGGCAGATTGTTTCTTGTATGTTTTAAGGAATATTTTATCTGCTGGTTTATTCATGTAGTGTACAAGGATTTCTGGGAAAGTATCTTCAGAATCTATAGGTATTTGCTTGTAGTTTCTCTAGAATCCTTTTCAAATTAGTAAGAATGAGAGGAATTTTCAGGATGGAGTCTTAAGTAAATGATATGGTACTGAAATATTTGGTTAAAAATTGAACCTCAATTTTCACCAGCTAATGGGAAATGAATTACCTCAAGAAATCAGTTTGCCGTGTACTATTATTTATAACCATACTTCATACACTTCATCTTAAAGTTTGTTTTCTTTTTGGTATTAAGGGAATAGGCAGGGAGAACACTTAACACATGTCCTTTTGTGTGCCTTAAATGGCTTTGACAGGTTATATAATGTAAAACCTGAAGTGTTTGAGGCTTGAAATGTGAGCTTGTGTCTTCATTACCATTGCCTCTGGGTAACAAGAATTATATTTGATTTATTACCTTTTATTTCATGCAATTAATTTTATTATCTTCCATGTTAAATTCGTTTCCTTTAGAACTGTTGAGGCCCAGTATCAATAGTTTTTCCCTCTTCCTGAAGCTTGACAGTTTTAATAAATGCTCAAAGTTATACTGTGTAGGGCAAGTTCCTTTCCTAGTTTCTAAATACAGGTGTTCTCTTTTACCCTTGAAACCAGCACACAAAAACATATTTGTCTGTCTTTGATAATGAAGAACAGACTTTAGCCTGGTATAGAGTGCTTAAAAATGTGTCTGTGTCTGAGAACTTTTGAGTAAACTCATTATGTTCAGTTTAGAACTAAATACAGAATTTAAATAAGCTAAATGTTATAACAGGAAATGTTAAAGAAATAATTATATACAGTTGAAGACATTTTTTAGTCATGAGTCTCTTAGAAAATGGTGTTTGGACCAGTAACAGAACACTGCCACACATCACTGCTTAAGGTCTTGTTACTAGCTGCTCATATTGGCTAGCACATTCTGTTTTCATAGAATAAAGCTTGTTTCACCAATCTTTTAAGGTTCTTTGTTTCTTTTCTTATTTGAAACATAAATATTCATAAAACTGTTGAAATGGATCTTGCATTTTTTCCTTGGTGGCCTGATATTTATATAAACATTTTGTGGTGTCGTTTGTTTTGGTGAGGGTTAACTTGAATCAGTTGCCAGATATTAGGGTGTTCTTATTTGATGTCCAAGGGACTTGACTTTATTACAACTACTGAATTAAATCCACCACCACCACATATTTTACTACAAAAGTAATCCAGATTAATTATGAAAAAAAATTGAAAAGTATTACTAACCCAGCACATAAGCATATAGATTAAAGTAATTAAAAGTATTCCTTAATCATCAGTGGAGTACAATCACTATTAATCTTTTGGTGTGTTGTATATTGAAATATAATAACTTCAATACTGTATGGTTAGTTCAGAGAACTAAAAAACTTTCAGGAAAATTCACACAGCTTCATTTTCTCTTGAAAACTTTTATTATGAAATATTTTAAGCATGTGTAAAATTTCCAAAAACAAATATGGGTATATACCCCTGTACCTAACATAGTGGCTCCTTTTTCCAGTATTAGAAGGCCTGTCCTTCTTTGGAAAAGTTTATTATCAATTTTTAATGAGCATTTTAATATTTAGTTACTTGTTATGATTTGGCGAAGTTTGATTTAGAATATGAATTAGAATGTATAATGAAACACAGTATAAGCCATCAGTATAACCAGAATGTATGTTATTGTATTGACCAATCAATATAATAATATATATCCTTCTAAACATTTTTTTCTGTTTACGAGGGTTATTTGAGTTCAAAGTATGGAAACTTAGAAAATGCAGGATCCCGGGCCGCCCGGTGGTGCACTCGGTAGAGTGCGGCACTTGGGAGCATGGCGGCGCTCCCGCCGAGGGTTCGGATCCCATACAGAGACCGGTCCGCTCACTGGTTGAGCGTGGTGCGGGCGCGACACCGAGGGTTGCGATCCCCTTACCGGTCACGAAAAAAGACAAAAAGGAAAAAAAAAAAAAAAGAAAATGCAGGATCCCTCCTTCCCCCAGAAAAAAATCCCTCAAAACTAATTCTTGTAGTTCCATCATTGAGGGATAACTTTGGTTAGCATTTTAGTGAGTGACCTTCCAGCTTTGTTCATTTTAGTTATTTTAATTTTTTTGGGTGGCTGGCCAATACAGGGATTGAACCCTTGACCTTGGAGTTATCAGCTCTGTATTTTATTTTGTAAAAACAAAGCAATAAAATGTTACACTTCCATTTTATTTTACAGTTTAGGAAAACACTGCATTATCTTATTTAGATCTTTACAAAATCACTGTGAGTTTGATAGGGACATTGGTATCTGTAACCTCCTTGTATAGAATTAAGGATCCTGGTGAAGGTAACTTTACCTGCATATCTTTCTCTTAGTAAGTGGTAAAGTTGGGACTTGAACCCAGGAATTTTGATTCCAAGGTAATTTTTTTTGAACTATATACTGTGCTGCTTTGAAAGTTACTAGTTCTTTGTCTTCCCAGACCCCTCATTAGTTTATTTTGGGTCTTGATCTTTGTTACAAATTCTGTTTTTTCAAAAACTATGATAAAATACATATAAGATAAAATTTACTATTTGAATTATTTTTAAGTGCACAGTTCTGTGGCATTAAGTACATCACACACCGTTGTGCAACAACCATCATCGCCATCCATCTCCAGAAATTTTTCATCTTCTACAAATTCATTTTTATTTGCAAGTCATTTAACCTTTCCGTAGTAAGTACTTTTATATGTGGGGTGTGGATTACTTGAGTTACCACCTACCTATAAAGCACTCAAAACAGTTCCTGGCACGTGGTAGGAACTCAATACATAGCTGCTTCCTACAAACTAAGTGGTAATGTAGGCTGATGGAGATGGAAGCATTGAAGGGGTAGAAAACAGGAAATGGGGGATGGATGGAAAGCTTCTTTTTTACAATTTGTTTTAAATCTTGTTTGTTCCTCGTTCAATTCAAAGTGTTTTTGGATGTGTCCCTGTATGCCCTGCATACACAGAAGAATTGAAAATCATAAAATGAAATTCAGTCACAATTTAGAGTTTGGAATCACATAGTTTTATACAGGGTTTGAAAGTACGATGTTAAAACAAGTCTCACTTAACTGTGAGATTGAATCCCTAGTAAAAGTATTTTAATTTTGTCTGACAGGATTTGAATTTTTCGAAGAGCTGCCAACACCCAAGTTCAGCTTTGGAGGCAGATCCGGAAACAGTGTAGCAGCATTGGTTTTCCAAAAAACATGAGACTTTTCTTTGGACAAATTCAGGTAGCTTTTTTAAAAAGTTACACAGCAAAGTTAACCTGACACAGAAGATGCAAGTGCAAATAAATGCTTAGTAAGTACACAGAATGCATATGTTCAATAGACATAATAGGTTGGTAAAAAAAAATGATGAACAGTAAGTGGTTGGGTTTTAGAGATCAACCAAGAATGGTTTTTAATTTTTCTTTGTATTTGAAATATAAACTTTTTTTTAATTAAAAAAATTTTCTGTACCTACTAAATAGTTAAAAACTTTAAATTAGTAAATGAATTTACAGAAAACATGTATTCTTGATTTTTGTGCCTTGTTAAGTTGAATTGAATGTAACTATGAAGATTTGTCGAATAATAAGCAAAACAACTTTCTGAGTGTTTTATTAGACTATTTATGAAACACAATAAGAAATACTATTTTAGGTTGAATGGTGATTATTTAAAAAATTATTTAATATCTGGGAAAAGCCCCTTTGCCTTCATGTAAATAATTAAACAAAGTCAGAGAAATGTATCAGTTAATCAGGAAATATTTATTGATCCTGTATTTTGCAGTCGATGGTCTTCTACACACTGTGAAGGATAAATAGTAGTAGGAAAGAGAAATAAGGGATATTGGTATATGCTAGCACTATGTTAAGTTATATTATTTTATTAAGTCATTTGAATTCTCCCAATCTTCTTGAGGTATGTATTACTTGTTTCTCTACATATAAGAAAACTGAAGCTGAGAGAAATGAAGTCACTTGCACAAGGTCAAACAGCTTGCACAGGATGGAGCCAGGATTCTTATCTGGGTCTGTGTGATTCTAAAATCCATTCTCTTATCCTAGTGTATTCTGCCTCCCAGTTGCTAAGTCTCTGCCTTTATAGTGTTTACAATTCAGTTGGGGAACTAGGATTGGTACATATAAAATTCAGTTAGAGAAGTTGCACAATTATTTTTAGGAGCTATGAAGCTCCTTCTTAGTGTTGATCACTAATAACTTGTTAGTGTTGATCTGTAGACTATCAGAATAGTGAATAAGCAAATTCAGTGTCTTATCCTTAATTACTTTTCACCATTTCTTTGTCTTTTTTGTCATTCTTCTGTGAAAGGGTGGCGTAAGTTACATAAGCCGTCAGGGATACAGGGACAAAGATGTTCTAGTTAGGGGCTACTTTAGCAAGAAAAAGTTCATTAATGTGTTTGAAAAGGTAAGATATAAATACCTAATACCACTTTGTTACAAGGCAGTGCTTTAACCAACTGAGCTAACTGGCCAGCCCTTACTTAATACCACTTTGTATTTGGGGTTACATTTTAATATTGGAGTCATAATGTGAATTTTTAAAAAGATATAATTTTTGATGATTTTCAGCTTTTTGGGCCTATTGAATTACAAAACTAACAATTTTTGTTTTTTTTGGCAAATGTTACTTCAGCATTAAGTTTAGCATTTTTACATCCTTTTTCTTTTTGGGGAGGCTGGGAGGGCAAGTCTTTCATTTAGATCAACATTAATTAACCATTGAGATTACTATCTGCTTTGCACAAGATGGCTGAAGACATTTACAATGGACTTTCAACAGAAGTAACATTTTTGGAAAAGCTTTTATTATCAACCAGAGCAAAGTGAGAAATTACTTCAAAATACATTTAACTTAAAAATTTTTAAAAATTGTGTTGATTTTATAAGACAGGGACACTTAAGCCATAGAAACATCAAATGTTTAATTAAAATTTTTTTGGTGGCTGGCCAGCTGGTAAGGGGACCTGAACCCTTGACCTTGGCATTATCAGGCTGTTCTCTAACCAACTGAGCTAACTGGCCATAGTTTTTTAATTTATTGAGGAGATCTGGTCTTTGTTGTTTTTTTCACACTAATATTCTTTGATTTCAAGTATAGTAATAATAGATAAGTACTTTTTAGAATTTTGAGTTTTTTCAATCCAACAAAATAGGCTTTCTTTATGACCAGACTGAGACACTGAGTTTGATTTTTAGGAAGCTTGGAGTGGATCTTTGTGGAAAAGCTCCTCGAGTGGCTGTATGTGACATATTTGTTCCATTTGCAAAGGTGAAGGCTTCTTTTTTTGAGTCATGGAGCTGTTGATAAGGTTGGAAAAAGGGAATTATCATCTTATCATTTTTATCCTGCTGGAAGCCAGCCTCTTAGGGATTGAAATCAGAACAAATGGAAGATCCAAAAATGCTAACAAGAAAATTAATATTTTCAAATAATACCAAGCTGTTAAAAACCAGGCCAGTAAATGTTCCTAAGTTACAGAAACAAACCATGAACACATTATTATTAAACTTAGTAGTGTTAAATTGTATGAATATGTGGGTAACTATAAAAGAAATTATGCACTTACAAAAAAGAAAAGGAAGTAATGTAGTAAAAGCTATTTTTTTGTGGGTAAGAAGTTTGAATTGTAATTTTAGTTAGTCAGAAGACATTTATTTTGCGGAAACTTGTTTGAAATGCAAATGAGATTTCTCTGTGGAGCCTGCACAGAATTGTGGCTTTTCATTATGATGTTGTTGCTACATAACGGGCTACTTCTGTGTGTAGGAAGTGCATATGCAAGTCCAAAGGGAATTGAGGCCTGAATGGGCGGGTTATACCAATTAACAAATAGAAAGTTTTCAGAACATTTTGTTTTAAGCCAGGTGCAGAAGTTGTAGTTGCTTTTTGGGACTGGCATTTATGTATGTGAGAATCAAACCTGACACTACTCTTGGCAGCTTGACTAAAGCCATTTTAAAATAAGTGTATACTGTCCTTGAATGATTTTTACCCCACTGTAGTAGCAACAAATTTGCCTTTCTTCTGTGATATGCATGCAGTCTTCTGTTTATTTTGAGGGAAGAAAGGAACCAAATATATACAGAAGACTTCCAATCTTTTTATGAATAATGTTCTTCAATTTACTTATTTTTTAACTTCTGTGATACCGTAAATGCATTTCAGTATGTTGAGCTCAATTCATGTTCATCCTGACTATAATAGAAACCTTAATTTTTAAGGAACTTAACATTAGTAACTAAGTTTCACATGGCCTTGAAATAATTTTTCTTAACTTGGTATGTATGCAAAGAAATAGAGTATCCCTGTCTGTGTTAATAGACTTTAACTTATATTCTCTTAAATAATTTTATTTTATATATTTGTGTGTGTGTGCTTGTCTGTCTCTCTGTGTGATGGCCTACAATGAAAATCTGTACAAATACAAACACTCAGTTTGTGTCCAGGGTATAGCCCTGGGATTTGATTTCCTGTTTTTGGCTCTGTGAGCTAGAGTGTATGTGCTCCAGAGGCAGCCCTCTGCTTTGAGAGCAAGAGACCAACTGTCTTGTGTTCCACAGTAGTAACCTCTTTAGCTAATTATTGGGGCGGGGAGGGGGTGTTGATAGGCTCCAATAGGAGTCTTGTCTGGCACACTTCGCTGGAAGAAGGTTGCCCATTAACTAGAGTTTGATTGTGGTAGGTGAGGAACATATTAGGTTGAAAGATAATTGCATAGTGGGAAAAATGAAGGAAATCCTTATCATTTCTCTTGGTTTGGCAGGAAACAGAGATATACTTAGAAGAAGGGGGAGCACAGGAGCATGTTTTAACAACAGTTAATGGAAGAAAATTAATGCTAATTTATTCTTCATACACACCATGCAATTTGTTAGAAAAGTAAAAGAATAGTTTGAAATTCTTTGGTCAGTTGATGGATTTCTATGTTAGGGGCATAGAAATGAAATTCAACATTAAGCAGACAAATACCCAAGCCCACAGGCTACATAAATGCTGAATAAAACAAGCTCTACAATGGAACTCTGAAAAGCTATGGGTAAGAAGGCTAATGAATGATTGAATATGACCTTAGCAAAATCCCTGGAGTGTTGTTGAAAGATCATTCATTTCCAGCTTAGATGTCAAGATGGGTTCCAGTAACCAGAAAAAAAAGAGAGCTTGAGTTAGTACTACTGAGTTTTAAAAATCTTTACAACACAGTGCATTGGACTAATCATTAAAAGGGTTTCTCTAGCTGAATTTTGAGCTGTCACTGTGTGGACCTGTAGTTTAGGCTCAGGGAAATCAAATTAAAAAGATTGGAATAATTCCCAAGACGTGAATGTATCGATATCCTGCTTTTATGGAGTAGAACTTCAAAAACTGGGATGTATAGGCTGGCAGAATGTACTTTTGTCATGCTGATACTATTGTAATAAAGATTTACAACCAAGAGATCAATTGTGCCTTAAAGTTTTTGCAAATTACTCGCCTAGTTTATTACAGGAAGATATAAAAATCCAAAATCTACACTTTTCATTTTTCAGAAGAAATTATTTCATTGTTTTCTGAAGAAATGATAAATTCTTCCATGATATTTTTTTTACATATGCATTATTACTGTATCAGCAAATGATAAGTATTTTAGTGATGGACCTTTTATTGTATTTGCTATTCAGAAGGTTCTTAAGAAAAGTGACTATGATACATCTGTTTTCCCAAGTATGTAAAAATTTACATATGATTCAGCAATTAGCATGTCTTGGATATTATCTGAGGAGCTTAGAAAGAAATACGAAAATACTCTGAGTAAGAGGACTGTAAATTCTTAATATACTTACAGATAAAGCAGTTTATTATCATTGAGGAGAGCAGAATAGAAACGGTTTTGGGATGGCTGTGGTTCCCCTGCTGTTGCCTTTTTTACTGCTTCAGTGAGGAGGTACTTGTCAGAGGAATAGGCTAAATGTAGAAGAGTGTGGGTGCTGCTAGTTCACGTTTGCTTCCTAACCCTTCTGCTAATTATGAAAATGTCAGGCCTTTGTTCCCATCTAATTTTAGTACATCCTGGCTAAAAAATTGTTAGGATGAAAAATGTTAGGATGATTTCCTACCATGGAATTTTGAGGGGCAGGGCAGGAGGAGAAACAGTAGAGGAAAGATCAGTTTATACTCCATATCCGTCTGCCTTTCTGTGACAGTGTCGAGCCCCTACTCTGTTGATTTTGGTAATGAAATAAATTTAGATGCACTGAAGCAGTGGTAATTAGGTTTTCCTTCCATGTCCTCAATAAGAAGCATAGTTGGTATCTGAATAGGAAAAATCATAATATGGTATTTAATAAAACATAACCAGGCTGAATTAAAGAGCTATATGCAAGCTTTGGAAGAAAGGCCTGAAATTGTGAGTGAAAACTACATGTTGTTTTATTTATAAATAGAACCTTTGAGGTCCGTTTATGTTTCATTGAAACTGGTTTGATATTTTGTTCTGAATGAGGGTAATATTTGTTGATTTCTGAGAAGCAGTTATAAGCAAGGCACACACATCTGAGTTGTTTATCCCCTCTATAAACCCTTCCAAGCCTAGAA